AGAAACAACTCCGACACACAGAACACAAAAGTATGACCCCAGAAATTCAATGATGAGAATCTACATGGAAACGCTGAATACATCTAAGCGAGTTGCCAGAATGCAAGCAGGTGGAAGCAACAGAAAGAGTGGAGTGACTCGGCCAGCTTCTGACTTCTCTAACCCATCTTTGTTTTGCTTGTTTAATTGGGCAGATACTCACTAAATGCTTTGTACAAGCCAAAAAAAAAAAAAAAAGAAGAAGAAGAAACACTTTATCTGACCTCATTTCCTCCAAGGGAGATTTGGGTTGGTTTTTGTTTTTTTGGGGGGGGCTGTCTCTGGTATGTTCCATATTCTTGGCCAATGATTCTTTTTAAAAAAATGTATTTATTTTATTATTATTGTGTGTGTGTGTACCATCAAATCAGATCTGACTGGTACAGGAGGAGATTGTCTCTTCTTCCTCAGCAGAGCATCTGGTGGATTTGAACTGCGCACCTCTGGGTTTGCAGTGCAGCTTCTTGCCACTAGGCCACCAGAACTTGTCAGCATTAATGATTCTCTAATTTCCCTCAATCATCAATCATTGTCCAACCGTCGCATGTCGAGGAAGCAACAGAAAGGACCATCCACCCTGGTGGAGATGGCAGAAACTTGAGCACTGGGACATGGGACTCTGGGGGACACATCAAGGCATAGGGGGAGGCAGGCCCAGCCTCAAGTGACCATCAGAAGATGCCTACACCCCTGGACTGAGGACCCATGAGCCCAGCACGATGACAGGGCACAGCAGCCCAAACCTCCACGTCCCCCACCAGGAATCTCCTCCCCAACTTCCATCTGTGGACGTGTTAGGGGACAAGGTGTCCTGGAGGCATAGTGTGTTCTGTGATGGGTTACTAAGCAAAGGGTTACCATTTAACTCTACCAGCCACTCCCCAGGAGAACGACGCAGTCTCTTCACACAAAGATTCACAGCCTCGGAGACCGATAGAGGGATGCTGCGAGTCAGCGTGAACTGGACGGCCGTGGGTGAGTACAGAAGCAACTAAAGGGGGGCGCCAAAGACCAACTTGGCTTCCAGACGGGTCAGCTCATCATGTGGGCACGAGCTGAAAACACGAGGTGGCTATGTTGCAGTCCCAAGAGTGGCAGAGACATGCAGCTGGTCACCCACTCCATGTGGAAGAAGGCACTGAGGTCAGAGCTTGTGGGGACTCCTCCCACGAAGTTTACTAAAGTACCTCTGTGCCAACAGAGATGACTCGGGCAGTCACCAATCCTCAGCTTTGGCAGAGGACCGCAGCTGCACAGTGGGGACACGAGCATAGTGGTAATGATGGCAGAAAGAGAGGCTCTGCTGGGACCTGGCAGTGTGGACTGTCACTTATGAGAGCAAAGACAGCCAGTGCCATTGCGAAAAGGCCATTCTGTGGCCACGGAGACCAGACCCTGAGCTTTGTTTCTGAGGGACTCACAGGCGACTGAGTGACACACAGAGACCGTACTGACCCCTGTGAACCCGGCAGGATCGGGGTGTGCTCCTTGGGTTTGGACCCTTCTGGACGTGGACTTTGCTTCCCTTCTGCAGCCAGCATGCCTCTTCAGGGCCTTGAACTTCAGGAGCCACAGACATGGAACCCCTGTGACAACATCCGGCTAGGTGATCACTTGTTGGCAGAGGGAGTGGGGTGAGGGCCCGTGGACAGGGGACTCAGGGCGAGATCCCCTCCCCCCACCTGGAAGCTGCTGGAAGGTAACAACCAGCTGAAGAAGCATCTTGACGTCCCCACGCTGCAAGGTCACTGTACACGGCAGAGGGGTCAACACTGTGCGGTGTTCCAGTGGAGAATACACAGGTCTGCAGTGATGAGCAGAGGCAGGCAAGGCCACTTCTGCCCTCATCCCACCAACGCTCGGCCCTGCAGGACCTGAGGACAGGACTCTTCAAGGACTCCAGCACTGGCTGCCTCCAGGACCACCACTGGCCAGAGACAAGCCAGTAAGGCAAGGCACATCCATCTCATCAGAGATAACTGACCCTTATCAGCAGATAGCAGGACTGGACACTCACAAGGGAGAGAGGGGGAAAGGGTCCATTTGGCACTCCGGTCACCTATTCAGGTGTCACTTGGAACATCTTCGCCATCTGTAACTACACGGCAAGAGTAGTAACGCTGCCTGAAAAAGTAAAGTGACGAGGTGCTGGGTCCCTCAGAAAGACCTAGCCAGGCGCCAAGCACCCAGGAGCCACAGCTAAGCCCTTGACTGCCATCTGGAAAGCTGTGGTTTGAATTCACCGGCGATCGTTCAGAAAGAGCATAGCCTCGTAAACTCTATGGACCACGGAGACACAGACCAAAGGGTGGACCCTGGCCGACCCAGCATGTCGTTCAGCTTCACCTCCAGGAAGCTCTTGCTGCTGGGATGTCAGTGTGTTTAGCCAACAGTTGCCTCTGTTAGTGTCACCTGGCCTCCTCACCATCTACACAGAAGCCTTGCTCATCTCCAGAAGGCCAAGGCCCAGCAAGGCCTCAGTATGGAGGCCTCCCCGCTTCCTCTACCCCGGGGAAGGGGGGACAAGGACGACTCCTGCTCCCAGGTTCCCAGAAGGGCAAGCGGTGCCTCACCCGAGCAGGCAGCATGCCCTGATGGGACCCTTGGGGACCAGTTCTGCTTTTCCCCTTTCGATTCTGACTCCTAATGACCCCTGTGTGCAGAACCGAATCGCCTCCTAGGCTGTTCCAGGGTGTGACTTTTGGAAAGCAGACGGCCAGGCCTTCCCTCTGAGGCATTTCCGCTGGGTTTGAGCCCCCAGCCTGGCAACTATTGGTTGATTTCTTCACTGTTCTCAGGAACTCCACTTGGTAAACCTTTTCCACCCTTACGTCTGGGTCAGCATCTGCTTCCTGGCAACACAAAGCACCAGAGTAGATTTAGGATTTCCCCACCCCCTTCCCGGCTCTGGGGCTTGAGGTTGAGGAAGATCTTTATCACTATTCTCAACCTTTTCAGCCAAAGGCACTTCTAGTCTCTGGTCTCCTCTGTCCCCACGGATCTGTCTCAAAGTTCTTCACCGTTTTTAAAACACAGACTGGAGTGCACGACTACTTCTGAAACTCCAATTTGTTCAAAAGAAGGCGCTAATTAACAGAGAGGCCAGGTTAGAGAAGGGGAGAGTGGAGAAAAAATAAATACCAACAATTCCTCAGATTCATAGCTGACACTCCACTGGGTTTCCCAGCTGTGAGCCACAGTGGAGGAGCTTGCCCATCTTTCTGGGCGCTGCTGGTGGATGCCACACGCCTGTGAGGGGAGGTCCTTTAACAGCACAACTCCCCAAGGAACTATGCTGTCAAAGCTTACGCCCCACAGGGCCCTGGGGGGGGGGCTCACAGGTGGGTGCTCAACAAATAGTGAACTGATTTCCCACTTCCCCCCCAAGCCTATCAGACTACTTTACGTGGTTAAAGAGCACTTCTGCAAGCAGAACCAGGGTCGGCCGGAAGTCAGATGGCAGAGTCCCGTCACTTCCGGGCCCAGGTGTGTCTGCCTACAAAGAGCCCTGGTGCCAGTGGGCTAAGCAATCCAATGGAACCCACCGGCAGCTCTGTGGAAGTAAGATGAGGCAGTCTGCTGCTGCTACGACTGGCGGCCTTGGACACCATGGGGCAGATCCTGTTCTCCAGGATCCCCTCCCAGAAAGTTCACTTCTGGAGAGACAGCCTGCATTCACCACTGCTTACCCTGCAGACCAACTCCCGAAAGAACTAACAGGTTTGTGCTGGAGAGGGTGAAACCAAGCTGCTCCTTGGAGGCAAGGATTTTGAGACTTCCTTTCACATACTCTGGTCATGTAGCCAGAAAGGGCCAGTTCTTAGAGAAGGAGATCATGCTGGGAAGGGTGGAGGGAGAGCACAGGAGAAGACCTGTATGGGAGGGATTGACACAATTACTGGGGTAATGAGGGTGGGTGTGTCAGACAGTGAGATGGGATCAGGATGGAGCAGAGTTCGGAGCTGTTGTGCTAGGAGTCACGTGACAGCACCAATCCCCCAACAGGAGAATTTCAGTCAGTGATGGGCAGAATTTCTGATTTGGTAACACGGTGCTGTCGTTTGTTCAAGTTGGCTTCTTAGCTCATGGATGACTTGTTTGCTTTTTCTTGGGGGCAGGTGTTTCTCAAGCATCTAAAGGGGGCGCTGATGTTGGGGTATGCCTTGGTGTGCCTGCTATGAAGCTGATGAAGTAGTGCGGCACCACTGTTAGGATTCCAATCAAGGCAGAGCGTCAAGATGGGGTCCTTGTAATCGCCTGTGAGGAGGCAGAGCTGGGCGGGTCAAGAATCGTCGGGGTTCTTGAGGGGACACCTCGGTGGGGGAAGGTGCACGTGCACCCTACGTCTGGCGGGAGATCAGGGGCCCGGGGGCAGATCGGGGAAGCCCCGGCCGCCAGCTGGGTGGCAATGCGCCTTTGCGCAAGTTACTTCCTCCTTTCCAGGGGGCGGGCGGTAACATCCAGCCCGTGGAGTTGTCTTGCAGATTCGCTACAAACCCGGAGGCAGCGAGCCAGGCTCGGAGGAGGCGCTCCCCAGGCTCGGCTCATTCCGGGAACGCGTGCGCGGGGTGGGGAGCGAGAGGACCCGAGACCCGCGTCACTCGCCGCCGGCTTATAAAAACCGCGGCAAGTGCCCGCACTCATTTCAGTTTCTCTTCTGCCCAGCGGGGACCCGCCCGGTGGCCTCACCCTCGCCGAGCCCAGACCCTGCGCCCGCGCCGGACTTTCCCGCGCTCCGTCACTTGTTGCCGTTCGACTTCTGCGCGGGGACCGGCGGGGACATCCGGCCCTCAGTGGCCCTCAGTGGCCCCAAGCGAGTTGGAAACCGAAAGCGGCGCCAGCTAACGGGGAGGGGCGCCCCGGCCGCGCGCCCGGAGGCCACTTGTAGGTTTCGATTCTCCGGAGGCAGCGCGCTCAGTGCGCCCCGCGCCCGCCAGGCTCCGGCCCCCCGCGCCGGGACCATGGCCGACCCCGAGGTCCGCTGCTTCATCACCAAGCTCCTGTGCGCCCACCGCGGCCGCATGGCCCTGGACGCGCTGCTCGGCGAGATCGCGCTGTCCGAGGCGCAGCTCTGCGAAGTGCTGATGGCGGCCGGTCCCGATCGCTTCGTGCTCCTGGACACCCAGGCCGGCCGCTCGGTGGTGGCCACCACTCAGGCCCGGGTCTGCCGTCGCAAGTACTGCCAGAGACCCTGTGAGAACCTTCACCTCTGCAAACTCAACCTGATGGGCCGGTGCACCTACTCCGAGCGGTGAGTGGCCGCAGGTGGGGGTGGGGGGCGGCTCCCGGACCCACGTCCTCCAGGGGCTCCAGGCCTCCGACAGCGTCTCCTCCACTCATCCCCCTCGAGCGCCTGCCCTGCCGCCTCCATCCCGGCCGGTGCCTTCCTGCCCCGGGGCCTCGGGTAAGGCGGGGTACTGCACGGCTGAGACCCCGCTGACCCGGACACCCCGTTAGAGGAGAGTTCTTCTCTGGCCAGACAGGGCCGGCCATGGGGACAGTGGGAGACGGATTTGGGAGCCACGTCTGTCGGAAATCTCTGGTGTGTTCCTAGACGTGGAAGGTCAGCGTTTCCCCAGCCGTGACCCTCACCTTCCAGCCACCTCCTGCCTGTGCCGTCGGGGTCTCAGCTCCCACCGCGCCCCCAAGGATCACCTTCCTGAAACCTGGAGCCCAGCCCCCACCTGCTGACCCGAGCGCCCCTCCCCTGGGTTACCAAGGATGGTGTGTCTGCCTCCCTTCCCCCTCCTCTCTCTGCTCTGGGCCCCCACCTAGGTCCACCCCCTGTTGGGCGCACTCTCGGAACTGGTCTTTTGAAAAGTGTGGAGACCGCTCCTTCTGGGTCGCGTGCACATTTATGCCCCGGTGGTGGGTGTCCCCAGCGTTTGGGGTGCGCTTTTTGGTCTAGAGGTCAGGCGTGGTTGGGCGCACTCCCCCGGGCGAGCCATCACGTCGGCAAAGATGGCTCCCTGGCCAGCACCCACTTAGGCCTCTCCCGGCCTGCTTCTCCATCCAGGGTGTTGGAGGAGGACTGGCCTACCGCCCTCAACCCCATCCAACTCGTCCTCCCTCCCCAGCTCCCCACACCCCATCCCACCGATCTAAAGCTTCCTCCTCCACGGTCAACACTTCAGGATGGAGGCTCTGGGATTGAACCTTCCTTCCAGCTGGGGTTCATCGGCCCACCTCATGTCTTCTGCCCCATCACTTTCCTGGACAGATTATTTTCTCTTTTGGCTTCTCCTTAAAAAACCTTGGGGGGGGGGTGTCTCTCAACCTCTTCCTGGGGTTTTCCATCAAGCTTAATGATGACAGATTTCCTATTAGCAAAAAACCTTTAGATCAATGATCCCCGGAAAAATGGCCATGAAAAAGTATGGAAGCGACTTTAAGCAGAAGAGACTAGGCTGGAATATGCTTCCCTATTTTAAAAATACAAGATGTAATGTGCTGTGAGTCACCAGTTTGAAGGTTTTGTTTTTGAGTTGCTGGGAATGAGTTACATTTACAGGGGAATCAACCTTTTCAAATTCTGCTTCTGAGCTGCTGAAAGTTAACATTTCGTCTGTACTGGAAACATCCGAAAGTATGTCTGTATTTCTAGCAGTTAGAGAGGGGCATCCTAGGAGGAACATTCTAGCACCTAGTGAACGCCAGTGGGCCTTGGAAGGCCGCGTTTGTCCTTCCGTTCTTCAGGTGAATGACCAAGGGATCTTTACCAACCCATGCCATCTTTTTGTTTTAATATGTTCGCTTATTTTTTAATTGTTCACTATGGATTTTTTAAATATTATTAATTTTAATGAACGTTGACAGAGACTTTGGATTTCCATTCATTCATTGTTGCATTTTTCTCTCTGCTCCTCCCCCCACCCCAGTTTGCTCTTCTCTTTGAAAATAAAAATTCTTTAATTGGTGTACAGTCCCTCCCCTTTCCACTCTACTGTGCAGCCTTCATTCTGGAGAGGGATGTTTTTAACTTGTGTTCAGGGTGAGAGTAAAGAATGATGACTCTTGCCTAGCTAGCCATGGCTTTAACAATTTTCAAAATGCTTCATTAGTTCTCCTCTCCCAGATCTACCCCTGCCTGGTCTGGATTGTTTTAAGGAATTCTTCAGAGATCCTTTCATTTGTAAATACTTTAAAAAGTATCTCTGAAAGGTGGCCTAAATAGCTAAGGGCTTGACTGCTGGCCAGACAGTTTGCACCACTCTTGGTGTTTGTTGGTATTAGGATCTCAGCTGGAGCCTCGACCTTGGAACCTGCTCCCCCGCCCCCCAACTTTCCACTCTGCTCCTGAGCATTCAAGAGTCAGAATCACACAACAGAGCGGGAAGATGGTTTTATTAACACAACAGAGTTCACATTTTTTTTATTAATTTTAACGAAAGTTTACAGAGACTTAGGGTTTCTACTCATTCATTGTTGCCAGAGTTTCCCTTTTTAAGACATTACACTCATCTTGTCATCTAATGGCCACATGTTGTTTAAATTTCCCTCATTATTTTATAAACCAGATTGTGTGTGTGTGTGTGAACACCAACACAGAAATAATCCGTAATTGTTATATACACGGAAATATTTTTGTTCTCCTTGTATACATGTTATTAATACTGTGCTTGGGTTTTATTTTAGCCTGGTTTGAAATATCAAAATAATTTTTAATTTCCTAACTGGGTTGTTAGACTGAAATTTCTTTATTTTATGAAAGTTTTTGTGTTGTTTTTAGGTGTAACTGATAATGAACCTGGCCTGTTCTATCCTGTGCTGTCCTCACACCTCCTGATACACTAGGGCCCATTGCGGTAGTCACTGTGTCAGTCCGCCTGGTCGAGGGTCTTTCTCTCCTTTATTGACCATCTACCTTCCAAGCATCATGTCCCTCTCCACGGAGTAGCTGCTCATAACAACATACTTGAAATACGTGAGGCAAAGTCTCATCATCTTTGCCTCCAAAGAGCACGGCCTGTTCTTTGCTTTTCTACTTTGCAGTATCCAAGCTATGTACATCCCGTGTTCCAGTTGCTGAAATTGCCATTATTTTTTCCTCATTTGACTGACTTCCGGTCTGGATTCCACCGCTGCTGCTACTACTACAACTATCCACTTTCCTCTGTTCCCCACAGGGTTCAGATCTGTTGTTCGTAGGGTTCACGCCCAACTTGGTGGCAACTAAGAACGACAACGTAGTGACCCTGTGAACAGAACCATGCCCTGTTCTCTGCTGTCATCACTGTCTTGGGCTCCTGGTTGCAGTCACCTGGATCCATCCATCTCTCTCAGGGGAAGTCTTCCTTTCTCAGCCTTTCCTGGAATATGTCCTTTTCCAAGGACCTCTCCTGACATCGCACCAAAGTATGTGAGATGAAGTGTCACCATCCTTTCCTCTAAGGGGGGGCTATACGTCCTCCAAGGCAGACTCGTTTTTTGGAGGTCCACAGGATATTTAGAACTCTTCTCCAGTGCCACAACTCAAAGCCACCCATTCTTCCTCTGTCATCCTATTTCATTGTCCAACTTTCAGAAGCACTTGAAAATACCAAAGCTTGGATCCAGGTGCATCGTAGTCTTTAAAGTGACATTCTTGCTCTTCAGTACTTTGGAGAGGTCCCTGAAAGCAGATTTTCCCAGTGCAACACACACACACACACACACACACACACACACACACATTTTGTTATTGTTGTTTAATTATTATTAATTTCAATGAAAATTTACAGAGACTTCGGATTTCCATTCATTCACTGTT